TCTTACTCCATACTGCTATGTTTAACTACTACCATTTATTTCCGACACATCTATGAATTTAGTCAGAAAAACTAATATGACACTATTTCTTAGCCGGTGTAGATGTTATTAGTCAATGGGCGAAGATAATCACCCAATTTTACTAGATCTGTGAGACATCATTTAGCATTGAGTTTTTTTCTACTACTGGTTTCAACCTTGGGTTTGTGCCTGTACTAAAACTACTACCTCGGGTATAATCCGATCATTAACTATTAGTTGTGGACCATGTATAATGTGACCTAGCACGTAGTCTGATTATATTGTATCTAATGTGTAATGTTGTATTGTCCAGTCTGGTCAAGTATTGCCTGTATTCATATAAACGCTAAAACCAATTATTGCCCTTTCCATCACGACAAACATCTATATCAGTGACACCAAAAACTTAAGAATCCAATATAAAATGTATATACCATAGTTTTTTTAATATTACTAAATAAGTACTCGCTGATACCATACAATTATTACATAAGTTAGATCCACTGTCAGAAGAATAAACGTGTATCACAATAGCACTGATAAAGAAACCAAGTAATTGTTATCGGTAAGAAAGTTTGTTAAACATGATACGGAAATAACAATAGGAGCGTAATTAAATATTATTCATAGTGGAAATTACCAGGTTAAACATGAACAACAAGTAGCAGAGTTTACCTTGCAAAACAAAATAAACCTATTTTACAAATACAATTACACAAAGAGGAAAATATGGAAAAGTGTAAATGATGATAGGATGAATTTTATATAGTAGTTTGTAAAGCTTAACCTCAAGAGGAAACTGTAAGTCAATACGCAGGAATGTCTTGGTTGATTGTACGTGCAAAATGGAGGAAAACAGTGTATTGCACATACATAAGTGTAGAAAAATGAATGGTAACTCGAAAAAAATAAACGAAACAACTAAATGTTATTTGGAATGGTTTACAACATGATAACATTTAGTGGTAAATTATTTATTTGTTTAGATAAATAACATCAAGTCTTAAGAATTAAGTGATATCCTCTTCTTCACTTATTGTTTTCTTAAGTTTGAGGAGAAGTGATGTAATCCATGGTTCAAGTCGAGTTATATTGTCATACTCTTGAACAGCCGTTGTAAAAGCTTCTACATTCTCTTGTTCCAAAGCTTCTGATAATTTCTGTTCGAAAAATGAAAATGATTTATTACTTCGAATAAGTGTCAATCACTTTAAAATAGATTACTGGACTACAATCAAAGAGATCAAATTATTAGTTTGCTGAAAAAGGGATTTGTTAGAAGCTACTAATGGGTAGACACACAATTTGTAATTTACAAGCAACTACGTTTTCTTGAATTGAAACGAGATTATCATGATTAAACGTGTTGATATTTCTAACTATCCTTATGCTACTTGCTTCTTCTAATGTTTAAACTTGTTTTAACTTTAAAAAATCGGTCATTCACCGGTAAAACGACTTACGCAACGTCCTGAATAAGATGCTCAAGACCCGTTTTTGTACTTTGATGTTACAAATGTACTGTTCCTATTAATAACAACCTACTCTCTAGTCAATTTATTCGAAATCAAATCGAATTTTAGCAGTTATGATTACACCTTACATATCTCAATTACGTAACAAACGTATATATAAGCATTCTTAATTGCTCACCTTCATCAAAGCACACTCTCTGGAGTCAGCAAACATAGGATAACATTCTTCATATGTTTTGAGCGCTTTTTGACCGTTGATTAAATCCACACAGAAATGACAAATGGCAGCTTTGAAAAGATGTCCTTTAGCACCATATTTCAACAAGTTGTTTTCCATTGACGCTTTACCAGCCTGTGAGAAAAATAGTGAACAAGAAAAAACATAACGCAATTGAAATGCATCTCACTAGAATTTCAAATAAAATCAAACACGTTACGATTGTTAAATCAAAGAGTTAAATAAGTCAGCTTGCAATGAAAAATGGTAATGAAAGTAGTTTTAAAATAAATGTAAATGACTGACAACATTATTTTTACTTAAATGCATAAACGCTGGTACAAGGGGGAACCAAATATATATGCGCCACACTTCATCATTCGATTTGTGTGAAGGCTGAGATACTACCTGGGCGCCTAAATCGAAGCAGGACAACACATAAGTGGAAAAGAAGGATAATAAAAACGAAATACGAATCTGTCTACCAGTCAGTTTAGTTGGTATATTTTATTCAGAATGACTTGATTTTGATTTTTATCTCCTTAAATCTGTTTATATCCTGTTAGTTTCGTAAATTGTCAAGGAGAAAACTGAGTAAAAAGTAACTTCTAATAAAACTGGTGAAAATTAAAAGGAAGAAGACGTGCTTATAAAGAATCATGAATGAAGGTTATTATATAATGTGGGTCATGTTGACCATCTAAAAAGTATACCTTTATAAAAGTTAAGAAAAGTTTGGGTTACTTGAAAAAAATATACTTAATAAAAGTCTGTTAAGTAAAATTGCATAAACATGGGATATATTTTTAATATCTCAATGAGTAGAAAAATTAGATTTTCTGACGTTTCGTGACTTAGTGTAAGCCGCTTCTTCAGAGAATAAATAACCAAATATATGACTTATTTATAACAATCTACCCAATGCCCAGTTTATTTGAAATTATCAAATCAAACCCTTGTAATGATATCTACAAACATTAGATATGTTTAATATTAAGGAAAGTTTTTTTTGCACAATTCACCTCAGGGAGTTCGAGAATTGAGCAGGAGATAGGTGGAACTTAATGATGACTAGTAAGAAGTACGATACTGAAGACTTATTTATTTGAACACATAAATATTGGTACAAAGGGGCACCAAATACATATGCGCCACATAAGTCACTTGATCTGTGTGTGGGCTGTGTTACTTCTCGGGTGCCCAAACAGAAGCAGGTGGTTTTCTTAGGGGGGCATACCTGGAGCCTTCGGCGTAAAGGTCTGACCCACAAGGCAGTGAAGCATCGTAGGGAGATGCAGTCCCATGGTAGCGGGTGACCAACGGTTGGTTCACACGCCGTTTGTTCCCTCGGGATACTGGAGCCCATGTGCACCATTGGTTTGGAACCAAGGTTTTCCAACTCCCCTAGGTGGACCCTCAATATCTACCAGGCGCCGGACATTCGCTTGTCATCCTCTCAATTTCGTAAACAACACTTCTGCCATGAGAAGGAAGTGCGTAGAACTTCTCTGGCAGTGGTTGTATGCACGTGGCCATATGAAAGCATTTCGAGAGGGAGAGCTGACTCTCCTTACTCTCGACCGTATCAATGAATTTGGTAGATTATGTTCAATCATGAACAAACTGATATTTGCTGGTTCATAAACTAACGTGCTTCCAGGAAAGTGGAATAGTCAAAGCCTTGAATAATAATAGCAATAATAATGATAAGAATAATAATCCAAAAACTCCTCTAACAAGTGTAAATCTATTCAATCAATTTTAATATCAGTAACATTAACCGAATGCTAAAGGAGAGAAGGTAAGTCAATATTTAAACTTGCAAACTACTAAATGAAATCTGAGTGCATTAGTCATTAAATTACTATTACGATAAGCATGATCGATTTGCAAATTAGTAGTTACATACAAGTGAAACAGTATAGGAAAAGATGTTTAATACTCTGGTTTTTAATAAACATTTTACTATTATTCAGTTATGATGTTAAGAACGAACAAATCCTATAGCAGAACACTTATGAATTAGATAAACTATAAATAATTATATTCCCTACTTAACTTACAAAGTTCTCACACTTAATTTTGGTCGATACACTTTAGTGAAAATTGAGTAGTTGCAATTTTTATTTCAAAATAATGTGTTATATTTATTAGTCATAGACGACCGTGAAAAAGTACATTTTACAAGTTCATTTGTGACCTACGAGAACAAAAGTGGTTTATTAAAAGATTATAGAATGCTGGGGATTTCTTTCAGTGTCTAAACTTCGATTCGGTGTTACAACGAACAGGAATGAACTGTTAGGACAAGCAAAATATCCATTTAATATAAATAAAAAGGGAGATAATTTAGAAAAAAATATAATCTAATAGTATGAAGTTAGTCTACATTACGATCTAACATATGACCTAAACAACTGTTAAAAACTAGATGTTAGACTTAGGTTTCTTTACATTTCGAGAATTTTCAACATTATGCATTCAAGTTAATTATTTATTGGAACGCAAAATCTATCACTTTACAAGTGAAAATTATGACGCAACCTACGAAATTTCACGTATGTACGACAAATAGTTTGACACTGTTAAATTTTCGAAATCAAAACTAAATTTCGTGGATAGTATGCTGCTTACTACGTTCTTTTTAAAAATATTTCGACCATCAATCGGACTATGGTAGGTTGTAACAGACTACAGTACACATCACAGTAATGTGTGAACCTGACTTACAGCCGATCTGACCAATATTAAGAAGCATATTCTCTTGAAAGGACTTATAGAAATAGATGTAAACAGATATTTGATAAAAAAAACTCAGTGCAGACAAAGACCTGGTACACTTTAAATTGCTACAAATTTCAAACTGAACTTTTTGAAATCAACAAATAATTGAAACCATTGTCGGATACGTAATTTGAATATTTGGTAGTATGTTGTCAATTATAAATTACAAGAGAAATATTAATAACGTAATAGGTAATTATGAGTTTAACCTTGACTTGTCTATGGATCTATGATACTAAATAAAGATAAAATTGGATGTAACATACCTGAAAATGGACTATAAGAGTAGGTGCTAATTAGAATGTATCATACTTTATAGAAGGGTGAGCAACAATATCAGTGTGCTTAAAGTATTATAGACAACTTCAGTTGCTAATAAAATGATAGATGGCGTTAGATATAATGTTAATCGACAAGTATTGATCAACCCAATCGCAACTGAACTTTCACTGATCAATGTTAGACAACCACTGAGAAGCATTGGACAACTGTTTCGTCATACTATGGGACTCCTCAGCAGTGCGCATGCACGGCCCTGAACACGGGAATCGAACCAAGGACCTTAGGTCTCGCACGCGAACGGTCAACCACTAGACCACTGAGCCAGGAACCAACGGCGTTAATGTCTAACTTCAATCAATTCACAACATTGCACGAAAATCTTCCATTATTTTTCATGGGTACCTGCCTCATATCCAGCATGGTTGAACTCCACTGATCATGCCTTCTCACTAGATCCATAATTACTTGTCCAAGAATTGTTTTTAACTATGGTAACCTAGGTATGTTTTCGCACAAATCAGTGGGTTATCTGAACAGAATGCAAATCAATCAACAACTCAAACCTTGAATACATGGTCGCCCTTGGTCAAATACAACCACGGACATCATTGTTTAGAACCAACTACAAAGTCTAAAGCACGGGTTTGAAGGTTTGGGTGGGGAATTTGTGCACAGGTGAAGCTATAACGATTTGCCATTTCAAACCTGACCTCTGTGTGCAAAAATCATGTTCAATTCTATATTCTTATTATTATTCCTCCTTCCTAATCTTACAAACTGTAAGTGATAAGTTACATTATTCTTCACGTTTGTAAAGTAGACAGTTGTCTTCTGCATTTACTGTATAAATTATTATTTCTTATTACCTCGGAAACGATTACATAACTTAACCCTTTGGTAATTTTTGACCAAGTCGCTAAATGATGCAACATCGATTCGATTCAATACTTGGGAACCTCGAGTAACTTTAGTTATTTTGAAATGACACTCTTCTATTAACAGACTTTTATATACAATACCTGAAATCTTTTGATTGTTTTATTAAGTGGTGCAACACTTCTTTTTTGTGGTCTTTTACACTCAATACTTGGAAAAAGTTGACTATCTATGGTGATTTTTTAGAGACATAACACTCCTCCACCTTATTATAGACTTCTGTATGTAAAAATTACCTACAAACACGATCGTAAATCTGAAAAAAATATCTGAAAAGATCTTCTTTACCGAAACGTTCTCACTGTTTTTAATCACTCAATGGCTTTCGTTATAATACGACTGATTGTTATATTAAACAAGACAGATTCAAGATTCATAAAGAGCACACGTCCCATGGAGGTCGTAGACCTACCTTACCGTAAAGCACAAGATTCATAAAACAGCTATTCTTCTGAAGCTTCTTGTAAATTTTAGTGCTGAGTATACATTTTAAACTTCTTATTATATTTACTTTCATTTTGGATACAATAATGCTGAAAATAACAACATTAATAACAGTATAGTTTCAGCAGTAACCATAGGGACGATAGTGGTGACTATAGTCCTTATATCAATAGTAATTATCAACATAATGACAAAAATTACCAAACCAAGTTTCGATACTAAGATATGAATAACAGCAATTTAAACAATTATACCTCTTCAAACAAGTTAGCAGCCTTATCGCATTGTCCCAACTGAGAGGCGAGTTGAGCCACGGCAAGCTGACATTTCATCGCTGAACTGCTAGATTCTTCACCTTTGTAATAATCAGCTGCCTGTTCGTAGTGACGAATCGCCTGTTCAATATCTACTAAATCCTTTTCACAGATTTCAGCTATAGTCATGTGGTGTTTTGCAGCTATAGTAAACCGACCCATCTCTAAATGTAAGACAAGAAAGATTATACGAGAAACCTTAGTAGTATATAGCGTAGTGTATGTAATAATTAAAAAACGGCCCAATCTGGAAGAAACGTTATTCGATAAATTGATATGTGATATGCTGAGAAGCTGAGGGTTCAAGCGCGGCTCCAGTTAAACAGATGAGGAAATAGGAAACAAAATAGCCCTCCACAAGTACCTTACAGATATTTACAGAATAAAACAAATTACTAAGACTGTATAGACGTTTACTAATATAGCATATTTACAGCTATTAACAAACGACCGCTTGATATAGTTGATAACAAACAATACAATAAATCCTGTGATGTGTGCGTAAAAACTGATGAAACTAGATCATAAATTAGTCGATAAAGATGTCCATATAAATTGATTGAGACACCTAGGTTACGCTGAATTACCTCATTCAACATTCAATCACGGATGAAATAAGATTAAGTTAAATGTATTTATACCTTTTACCTTTGGAACCATGAACAATTTAAAATCCACAATCAGCTTTCTTTCTGGTTTAAATTTTTCCTTTCTGTATTGACATTTTCCTATTTGTATTCGTTCCTTTCTTCTTGTGATGTAGGTACTTATTCCAACTTAAACCTAAGCAGTTTACTTCATGGTTGCAAATCTGTTTGTATAAAAGTGTATTCATGAAGTCATTCAGTCACAACAATACAAAAAATACCGAATAGTATTGAAATAGATGTTCAATCAAGAGTAAGAACATTTTGGAAAAAATATATTCATTTAGCTGATTCCATTGCAAGTTCATTTATGTCTTGCTTTACACAACCTAAATCATAGAAAAATGAACATTCTTATTATTAGTAGGGAAAATGCCTTAACACCTATGGAATTTGGATGGACATGTGAAAAGTATTAATAGTGGTGAACACTTTTAATGTAACGATCGTGCTAAGCACTTCAGTTAGAAATATTTTTACACAAAGCCTAACGACGGAAACAGATTACATCAGTGCAAGAAATGTAAGACTTCTACTACAGGTAATTCAGTGTGACATATGAGGTCTATTATTTATAGAGAGAATTCTGAGTAAACAATTGACATTTAATGACTTTAGCATTATGAAACCTTACTTCACTTGATTAAATCATCTAAAAATAATGAAGAAAGGTTAGTAACCAGTAGCAAGACTAACTTTTATGACTTACTAGGCTTGTCATAAAATTTGCAAGAAATTTCGATATTGTATTGTCTATAGTTCCGATTTCACAATCAAACATTCTGTTAAAGTACGAGAATATTTTTACAGGCAAATCTGCCGATAATTTATTAATGATAGATTTACGACAGTAATCAGTAATGTTGAAACTAGTAGGTATATAGACAGAATTGAACCAGAACATTAATTTATTGAAATCTATAAAAATTTGTAAGTGTGTATACTAAATAGATACTTGTCAGCTGAAATATATATATATATATATATATATATATATATATATATATATATATTTGTAGAAGAGCAAGTGATACCACACGGTTTACGAAACTGAAGGTGCAACGAAGTTTGAACCTGAAGCCTAATGATTAAAAACGAAATCACATACCCATAATGTACTCGTTGCACTTATATGTTTTCCTACACGATGTCATTATAAAGGTGACTGAAAAACACGATATTCGAAACAGAAAAGTTGGGAAAAGGCGGTTTTTAGGTGAAAGGCGACACAGAAACCCAATTAACCATGCTACCCAGCCTACAAATGGTAAATTAAATCTACTACTGATGAAGCGCTGTATCCAAAGCAATTAATTTTAAGTATAAATTCATTGTGTAGTATTAGTAAAGTAAATGTAGTATATGTATGAACGACAAATAAGACACAAAATGATCTACTAACCAGTATATATTTCGATCGCTTTAGTGAGACATTGAATAGACTTTTTTGGATCATCCTTCTTAAAAACTAGTGATGCGTTCACATAGTGCGTAGCTGCATCATGCTTTGACTTTTGGCTCAAACTTAGGTTTGCAGCCTCTAGAAATGCATTACCGGCCTCTAAATGTATCAGATAGTTTGTTGAACCAGTCCTTACCAGTCCAATTGTGTGCCATCTTAAAACAATTTCCCGCTTTCTCATACAATGATATCACTTCATCTGTCTTGTCCGAACTAAAATGAAAAGTGAAAAAAGATCTAACGACACATCAAAAAATGAAGTATAACAGTCATAAACATCCATCAAGTAAAAACGACAATACTGTAAAAATGTAAGCAATAAATTATAAACTACTGAACGGATAAGAGTTCATGTAAGAAGCACATGTAAATTATATATATATATATATATATATATATATATATATATATATGAACAATATATACACGATAATTTTGTGCTTTAAGCTATTACTTTGCAACCCGAGCTTCAGCACCGTAGACGAGATTGTTTCTATCATCGACACTCAACGTAACAATAATTTTGAGAATGACCACCTGCTATGTACAAACTGACGCAGTAACGTTCACAAGAAAACATAGAGCATGCAGTCCGTATGAAGTGATCCCGCACACCACACTTAACGTCAGCAAGGTGCAAGTTAGTAAGATTAAATTTGAAATCAAGTTAAAAATACCAACATTAGTGGAAAGTCGAGAAATGTTAAGACGGAATAAAACTGTAACACAGTATTACTCTTAAGAAAATATAAAGAACGATTGTATTGCGTGACTGAAACTGCGACTAATTTTGGAGTTACTTAGGGTCTCAGACTACAAATTATGATGACCTGGCTAAATCTAACCAGAAAATATCGGGCTCCGAATATCACCTAGATTAATAGTCAATAGCTTTAAAGCCAATGCTATAGCTTGATTTAGTCTTTTTGACAGTGTGATATAACTATTATGAAGATTTTATATGACACTAGCAATGAGCGATGTTAGATTATTAATCTGATATCCAGTGAAGAAACCGAATATAACAGGGTTGTGTTTTATACGGGAGGGTATTATAAGTAGTTGAGAGTTTATGCAAGATGTTACTTCTTAGCCACTTCTATAATAGACTACTAGATTGGAATAAGTTGAAAATATTTTGCAGAAAGATTATGGAACTTGGTCAAAAATAAACTATGTAAGGGCTAATGTGTATCGGCATTGATCCGAATTTTAACACATTATGACGGAGAGGGAATTAACCAAGTGATATTCTTTTTATCTACTACTGTTGTAAAAGGTCACATTTTTGTAGTATCATCAGCAATCACTACGAGAACGAAAGGTATTTTATAAAACTTCAAGACGCAAAACAATTATTGTCTATTCATTATATGTATGTATGAGTTGAAATTACTAAGCAAAGTTGAATTTAATGCTTTCTTATGTACTTAATAAATGCACCTGTTATCAACGATTTCGAACTGTATGAGACGAACTTTCTAATATGAAGGACGTACCTGATAGGACAAAGGTTGATTTATATCACTTAAGAAATTATTAGAAGTTATCTACACCCCGAGATCCTACTGATGTAAATGAATTACCAACTGTAGCAAAATCATCCGTTCTACTCTTCGCTGATGACATAAAAATTTGCAGATCCATACACAGTATGTCGGATAGGATAGTATTACAGAATGATCTTAGCTCATTGGTGGCATGGTTGGACAGGTGGTCACTAGAAGTAAATCCTAATAAGAGTGTAGTGATGCAAATAAATAACTATGATGAATCTTATCATTACACAATATGTGGATTCGTGCTACCCAAAGTAAGAAACTATAAAGATTTAGGAGTCACATTAAGTAGTGATCTCAAAACCACTAGTCAACGTAAGGCTGCCGCTGCTGCGAAAGGCTATAGGGTATTATGGTCTATTCGTAGGTCTTTCCAGTATTTAGATGATGAAATGTTTAGACTATTCTACCCGATTTATGTGCGACCACATTTAGAATAAGGGATTCGAGCAGCGAGTCCTTGTTTCAAGGATGAAGCAGAGATACTGGAAAGTGTTTAACGACGAGGTACTAAGATGGTACAAGGTCTATCTGACCTATCTTATGAAGACAGACTGAGACACCTAAACTTAATTCCGTTATCTTACCGTAGAGTACGGGGTGATCTAATATTGGCTTATCGTATTCTGAAAGATGACCCTGGTATTAACATGTCATATCTTTTACTTCCGTCTAGGACTAATTGTTTGAGAGGACATTCGAAGAAAGTTCAAAAACCGGGATCAAATCGTTTACGTCTGGAGTTTCGTTTCTCGCACCGAGAAGTGAACTACTGGAATTCTCTACAGAAACACGTAATATCAGCACCTTCTGTTGATATATTCAAAACGAGATTGGACCTCCACAGTATTACAAACTGCAAGGATTAATATAGGTCGATAGACCTCCTATCCTTATTACTGAAGACTAATGCAAAATATTAAGTTAGAAGTGATTAGTAATAAGTCCGTCAAAATACCAGAGGTTAGAAAACACTTATGCTAAAACAACTTAATTTATCCACTGGGTACCTCGGTATTAACCATACTTTAGCGCTAATATTACAAGCCGGGAGCATAATGAATAGTATGGTATGCAAATTTATATAATGGTAGCTTTGGTTCTGGCAATTAGTATTCACCGGCCGAGAAAGGGTATGATGCCTTAGAGACATTAAGAAAACCGGTCAATTAACAGGCTACAATAACTAGTGAAACCCATGTCTTTTATTCTTAACTAATTTGTTTAAGGCTACTATTTTACGGTCCAGTAAATAGGTTTCAATAAGACTCACCCCAAACCAAAAGAAAAGAACCCTTTTTTATTCTTCTTTTGTGCCTCAGCAATCAGTTCTCTTGCCTTCTTCTCGTTTTCATCCATTACTCGATAGTTGCTCACAATTCGAAATAACCACTGGAAAGTACTACAACTAGTTCAATCTCCCACCACTAGAAATAACTAAATGCATGTTTGTCTCGTCCCATACATAAATTGAATTAAATTTTGTGTTTTGAAAAAATATTGTGCCTTTATTGGGTAATACAAATGAAATAATTCAGTGTGTAGTAAATATATACTCGGAGGTGATTTCTTTTATCTGAGTTCAGTTTCTGTATTAGTCTGGGAGGGACGGAGGACTAACTGCTTTTTTTGTTAGTCCTAACAATGAAATTGTGATATCCGTATACAATGATGGTTTAGTATATCTTTTACTACGCTTATTATGAATTCCCATTTAATACACTCCGTTTCAATATACCCACCTTCAAATACCTTTATGACGAGATTGTAGGCCTACTGAAATGTCATTGAGCCCTAAAAAAATAATCCAGAGAACAGGTAATTGGATGTCGAATACTTTGCTGGTCCTTGTCAGGATCAAGGGCAATCAATGTGCATTAGTCGGTGACTGACTGGTTAATGTGGCAATGGTTGCACTGTGTTTTCAAATATATTTTAACCAGTACATTTCTTCTAAAACGTTTTGTTTGTAGTGAACAGTTACAAAATTAGCCACGGTAACCAAAAACTACATGGGGGCAATCAATATGAAATATTAACCTCGAGGCGGGACCTTGACGTGGACCAGTAGGTCGTACCACACACATCCAACCCGAGCAGACCGTGATCATCCAGGTCACCTATATTTGTAATCTAAAAGAGTGTAAAACCAATTGGTTTCTCAGCCCTGGCTTCTTGATGTGTTGACACAGTTACATAAGTTTCAATTGTGACGTACGGGTGCTCTGGCCAGATGATCGCACTAATTCTAGTCAGTTTGATAAATATTTGTGGGTCTGTATATCTTCTAATCTGAGTGGATAAGCTCTCCGGACGTCAGCGGTTAACACATCACACGACAGAAGTTCAGTCGGTTGCAATGTGAAGAGTAATAAAGTAAGAGTTCGAATGCCAAAGTCAGATGCAGGTTTTAAGAACCAAATAAATAAATTAGTTAGTTAGTTTATCAATAATGACAACAGCTTATGAATTGTGAGATGTGTCGCAGACATGGCTGGTCTAAGTGGAATCTGACAATCCATGAGTATTTTTCTGGTCAAGTTCCCTCTTGAAGCCATCCACTAAGGGACCTGAGACCACTTCAGTTGTGTTCATCAAGTCCTATTTGTCCTAAATTGAACTAGTCCAGGGAATTTTAGACAGCACATCAATTCGAATACTGATAATTATCATGTTGGCTTCGCGATGGAGCATATGATTAAACAACCGGATGTACATCCAAATCATGATGCCTTCGAAGAGTAAATGGGAAGTTTTGAAATCTGAAATAGGGCGAGGAAAGACGTTGAACGTGGTAGGATTGTGACTCATTTACTTACTTTCATCGAAAAGGGTGTGTACAGTTTACCGAAAGACTCGACATTTCCAGATAAGCCTATTTCACTGGACTAATTGTAGGAATTAACGTACGAAATCTGGAAAAGGCGCTCATATAAATGCTGAAATGCTCGTTCCTTGATGTTCGAAGTGTATGTATTAATTACGAGGTATTGCACGAAACTGACTTCCAAGACACGAAGAATTTCATTAGATTACTTGATTGTCCTGATGCATTTCATAGTCAAATGGTTCAAATGGTTGTGGACGGAATAGAAGGAGCTTTCGCTTAACAGGCTTCCGCGTCTAGTAGCAGGGGATCACCAAATCCTCCAGGCAGGAACCCAGGTATGTTAATAATAAAACAGGAAGAGAAATTGGTACATCATAGTGTGATGCTGTACATGGTCCTTAAGAATAGGTCAAGTTGCCTCTTGAAGGACTCCTGAGAAGTCGCTTGGATCGGCTCGGCCGGCAGCGAATTTCAGCTTTTGACAACTCTTGAGGAGTAGAAGTTATGTCTACATTCCGTTTTGCTATGTTGTGTTTCCAGTTTCTGGGTGTTACCCTATAGAACTATAGTCTACTATGATATTAGTACTGCTCTAATAATAGAACTAATCCTAAATTTGTAGATTTGTCATGATATAACTGCCTAATCTATAAGATCTTACGTGGAAGTCATACCATCGACTACACCAACTCACTGTATCGTATCAATTACCATACATGATGAAAAACAAGGTTAGGCTAGAGAAAGAACAATATATTTAATATGAATTGAAGATATAAGGTAACATTCAGCAGAGACCACACCTGCATGGCCGAGCCATGTCACTCGATCAACTCCAGTCCATCCAATTCATTCTTCGTGCCTTCTCCATCGTTAGGTATTTATCCGCGTTAAATATTGAATATCTATTTTCTGAGTAGTCTCGTGTTCAGCTTTGTGGATTGTGCGGTTATTGTTCAATGCCACTACAATCCCTTAGTCTATTATTCGAACTAAGCTTATGTAGGTGTTTAAGAGGATGTCCAGAAGTGTTGAGGATGCAATAAGCCATCAGAAGATCACCTCTAAGACGCCTACACTCTAATGAGTAAAGGTCTAGTGAATGTAGGCGTTCTTCGTAAAGTTTAGATTTGAGTCCTCGAACTGATTTCGTGGCTCGCCGTTGGATACGCTCCAAAGTGACCTTGTCCTTTTGGAGTGAGGGGGGAGTACTATGTTTCCGTACTGTAAATGGGGACGGATGAAACTATTGAAGATTGTATGGAAAGTTCTTCCGTCAAACTGTCCAAAAATGCGCTTCAACGTTACCAATGCAAGGTTTGCTCGGAAGGCATTTTTGTCGCAGTTAGCGTAAGACTTTAAATCATGGAGCACCAGGACTCCTAGATTTTTTTCGACTTGGGATACTACTAGAGAGGAGTTTCCTAAATTGTAACTGTAGTTTCCGACATGTCGCAGATGGACTACTTTACACTTTGAAGTGTTAAAGGTAAGTCCGTTATCGTCTGCCCAACTTTGAAGTCGAGTCAGATCCTCCTGAAGTGCTTGTGTATCGTCTTGGTTGCGTATCTCTCTCCGAAATTTCACGTCGTCAGCAAAAAGTAATAAGTCTGACGTTACCTGTTGAGGAAGATCGTTTATGTAGATCAAGAAGAGAAGAGGCCGTAGTACTGAGCCCTGGGGGACCCCACTAGGACATTCCATAACCTGAGATAAAGTGAAATTAACCCTAACCTTAAAGTGTCGATTTTTTAGGTATGAAGTATGCCTCCGAAAATCGACTTCCATAGAAACGTCGGTTCGATCAACTTATCTATCGAAAACATCTCACTTCCGTTACTCCAGCCCAAGGGAGAATTAATAACTCCTTTGGTGCTTGACGTTCAAACACCGATTACCAATCACGTCAGTATTCGGCGATGTTTCATGGGGAAGCCACTATCTCGGAGGACCAATGAGAACTCAACGTAAGTAGGTCGGTGCTCTAATTGGTGATCTTATCACGTGATGATTACAAAGTCATAACATAACACTAACCAGATTTAAATGCATACTCTTACGTCTTTGTGTGTGGACCGCTCTATAAGTTGATCAGAAGGAGTTCTCATCAAAAGCACTACTGTTGAAATAGTGGCTTGCGCCTCCGTCGAATGATAGGCGGCTTGCTTAGGCTGTCCTTCAACTATCACTACAGACCGCAAGTGCCAGTTCAAATTCGGACTTTTTCGTTGTCTTATTGCATTACTAGGAATCATAAGATTTCGAAAAACTACCTACCAACAACGAGCCTGCTGGCTGATAGAACAACCTCCCCGACAGCTGAAGGCTTCACTCTTAGCTGCAAACGTTTCACAGTTGATAGACTCTCTTCTTCTCGTTTTACTCGGTATTCGTAGTGCAGTGAAAGCTGACGTTGGATACACTGCCCAGTAATCCTATTACAAGCAAACTAGACAATTCGATAATATACGAAGCCTACTCAAGACCCTTTGATACTTAAAAAAAATAATAATACAAAAAAGATGAAAAGGGTTCCAACAACTTCGATAAAAAAGGGAAGATAGTCAATTTTTATATCACAATACTGTTTTTAGCACTATATTTTATGACCACACATAATCTCATATTTTCAGCTTCTTTCTGAATCCCCTCCACTTGTCAGTTGTAAGTCCACTCATACCTTGTTTACACTTATTTTCTTTAACCTATTCAAATGCCATTGCTTAACAAACACCTTAATATAAGAAAATTAGACTGAGTAATCATACCTTAAACATTCCTTCATGAATATTGGCTACTCTGCCTCTCGTGTTTTCTTTTACTTGCTCCTTCTTTCAGCCCCCTTGAGATATGGAACTGGTGACTTCATCCTGCACCATCCTTAAAGCCTTAGATATTCCAAAGGGACATATGGTTGCGATTTCTAGAAACTCCCACTTTCAATGGACCTATCCTTGACCATCAAGTGCACATTCGCGACGCGACTTTCATGAAGCGCGCCAACGGTGATACTGGCTAAAACAATCTACATTCATATCTTTTAAATTATCAACCCAGCTGAGTAATTTACTACAGTGGGCATTGCATCATTTGTAAAAATTAGAGCTTGCCTGTAAACTGGAATGTCTCATGTAACAAACTGTTATTTGAGAATAAATTATTATTATTATAACTCGTCCGGAGAAAAGCGCTCCGACTTCCAGGAGAACATGTAGATCATTCTCCTTCCCTCGTTTCATAGCGATATCGAGAAAATGAGACTTGTTTATATTTTCATGTCCCATAGTAAAATAGATATATATGGATGGTCTTTGTTGGAACGTTTTAGCAGATTTGTCGCATGATGTTGATTATCACATATGATGAAAGCATCATCATGAGACATCATTGTCATTTTTCTTCAATTTATAACTGACTGGTTTCCATTTTGCTATGAAATATGAAAATAAGAACAAGTTCCATTTTTTTAATATTGTAATGAAACGAAGGAAGGATGGCACAGTTCAACATTCAGGTTATAAGAAAGATACATAGAATGAGGTTTATCTCAATTTCAATAGCTTTTGTCCAATCAGTTACAATAAGGCACTTGTAAAAACACTGTTTCACAGAACAGAAAGAATATGTACTGCTGATTCACTAGAAAGTAAGTTATGAATGCTAAAAAATGTTTAAAAAAATAACGGATACTCACTGAAATTTATTGAGAAATATGGGAAAAGTGAAGGTGAAAAAAACAAAGAAAGCATAGCAAACAAAAACTTATTCTTATTCAGCTTAAATTCAAAAGTGAGGATGTAACAGGGTCAACCAATATGAGCCTAAAAACTGCAGTGATAGGAACTTATCCTGTAGCTTAACTGATTGTCCTGCCCAAAAACGTTTTTTTTGACACATCCAAAGGTCGATAAGTATCCCTTTCATGCTGCCACCAACTGTTTTTACAAATTTATACGTATCTGCTAAAGCGGTTACATTGGTAGAACAGAAAGGAAAGCCTACGTCCGATTCAAAGAACATATTTCGAAAAATTTAAGGTCAAATAGATTAAAAGTATTCAGCAGTGCCATTGCAAGACATCTCTTTGACATGAGACATGGATTTACTACGGTGAAGTCCTTCAGGGTGATTAACAAACAATCAAATTCCAACATTTTGAAATTTGCAGAAGAGACATCAATCAAATGTCTAAAACCAAATCTATGTATCCAAAAACAGATAGTAATAAATCTTTCTTCGCCCCGGTAACATTAGGACCTTTTTTATTTATTACGTTATTTATTATTTCAGCTTTTTCTAAAGTTTAAATTATAACACTGACCGATTTCAATTCATACCTTTCTTTATTCCCATTAATCTACTTTCAGTTTCTTCATTACACAATCATCTAATGTTTGTTAACTCCATGATTTCTAATCACTATTTCAGTGTTCTAGAACTGTCCCTCTCAAACTTAATTTATTCGAAACAAAATTTTTATGACCATATTAGCTCTATTGAAATCCTGGCTACATCATGATACATATATTCATCTTTAATCACCCTCTTAAATATAAGTATGTCAGTATCTGTAACAACGTTGATGTTCAATTACTTTAGGTTGTAGGCATTTGATGAGAATCAAACAAAATAAGATGCATTCATATTTTTCCGCACCAATTTTCGTTCTTGTTCTCTTTAAATTTTCTTTCTTATATTTGGCCGCATATTCTTTTTTATTAGGGAAAGAAGACTAGGTGCTAATGAACACGGCAAGCTATCAGAAGAGTTTCCGCCAACGAAAAGCTTGTAGGGTGCGCACTATCGGCTGAAAACGTCTTAGGGTAATCATCACCCCACTAGAGTGAGGGAGTGAGCCTTAGTGGTAAATAAACCCACTAAATAAATAGTTTTGTGACTTTTCGACACTGATGCCGACCTCAGTAGTTTTGCTGAACACGTCCTTGATGGAGACGCTTCGTCACGCGTCACGGGTACGCTATGCTACGCATCCGTTGCAACTACTTGCTAGCTTAGACCAAACGCTTCTCGACGTATCGATAGCCTTCCAAATATATCTTCGAACTCCTTCATTTCTGAATTCTGATTTGACCGAGTCCGAGCACTCCGATTATAAAGGCGTTACTTGAAAAGGCGTTGTCAAAATCGGAATACCTGTGGCATCTTTTCTGCGATAGAAATTATTATAAATTATTCAGTAACTTAATAAACGAAAACACGACCGTAATTTCGGACTGTGATACACTTAAATGACTTGACAACGTTGAATTAATCCACATCAGACATCGTTTTTGTTTCTATCTTTTTGCTCCCACTAGAACTATTTATCTCCGAAAACGGCGATCGAATAAACTCAAGTTGAAATCCCTTCTATAGACATCGAATAGTAATAGACTAAAACGCCTTACTAAAACTAATGTTATCAGAACCAACAGTAGACGTTTTCAAGCCGAAACTGAATTTTCACAAGAAAAAATGTGCAGCAAGAATTAATGCAACTGACTTGATAACCGTTTTTACAGATTGAAGATTGTCGATTGACGGATTGGATTGACCTTGGATTTCGTTCAAAAGGGTCAGAATCAGCCGGACGGATGATGTCATTACTATGTCTCTGAATTCTTTGTCTACATACCTTTCCATTTGTATTTTCACATGTGTAGTATACATACATGTTAGAGGCATATATTCGTACGGTTCGCAAGGGTACGAATTCATATTCAGAAAATATTGCTTTTTAATTGTAGGGTGTTAATAGCAAATACTGTTGATGGTTCGTTCATCGGCTTAGATATAAGAAGTGGAAAGTTGTTTTGGAAGATAGATGGCCCTCCTCTTGTTTCCCAGAGCTTGAGTGATCTCCAGGTATCTTATCATCCTGACGGCTTAATAACTATCACATATTTTAGCTCATAACAAAAACGAAATCATATAGTATTGTTCCTTCTCTTGATGGCCAACTTTTTTTGATGGAGAAAGAGCTGACAAATGGCTCAGATCTATTAGGTGGTGCATCACTTAAAGCATTACCACTGAGCATCGACTCTTTATTCTCTTCAAATTTTATGCTCACAGAAGATTCACTATTAACTGGAGGACGAGAACATTCAACATTCGCTTTTAATCCTAACAATGGCAAAGTTAGTCTGTTACATTTGGTGGCAAATTGCATTGCTTGTTATTTGATTTAACAGTTCACAAAGTTTACTTAATCTAGAAAGAATATCTTCTAGCTGACTGAGGTCTTTAACTCAAGGTTATCAAAAATTGAAATTTTATGCCTAAAAAGTTTGTTAAAGTTTACGTGGACGTGCTTATGGAATTCTGAATCAACTTTGGGGACCCCATTATTAGACCGAGACGGATAGTTATTTTGTCCGTACTACTTATAACTAACACCAGCTGTGCTTGGTGACAAGTAGGGCTCGGACCCATCTAACAGGTGTCTAAATGTTAGTGTGTGGTTTCAAATATTTCAAAACATGTTTTATGGGTAAATGCATTATATTTAAAAGTTGACCTGACCCTGGACTAGTGGACGGGCTGATTTCTTAACACACTCAATATTACTTTATTTTGTTGCCAAAACTTTTAATTTAAAGGCTAATGGTGATTCCTTAACGATGTCACATACTTCTGTCTTCGCACCTGAGCAGCATTTCATTTTTCACATCAACCGTAAAAGCAAAATAACGAATAAACATTAGCTATGAATTGAAATGTTCTGAGTCACTTAAGTGCAAAACATGTAAACTCAAATGGTAACAAGTAATTTCCTGTCATATGATCACCTGCCTTTGTATTCGAATTTATCATAAAGATATCAATGTGAGTGAATTTGTTCACTCCCAACTTTGGTGGATTTGACGTTTCACCTGGAAATCCTGGGATACGCATGAAATAATCTAATATTCTTCCTAAATGAGAATATTCGACCATTTTGTTTGTGTTAATTCTCGAAGAAAGTAACTCTAAAACGCCCACTGACTGAGCTAATCCCACTCAGTGATAAAAAATCGATTTTCACTCTGATTATATTAGGTCAGTAATTTTCAGTTTTCTCTCTTACCTGAGACTGGGTTCAAACGATGGTAGAACTGTTGCCCCCAGAATTTAAGGGTGCACTTTAGAAAACTTTGCTCTCAAATCCCTTTCATATAGTTGCTCGCTTATCGTCTCTCCCAGAAAAGCCTTCCTGCTTGCACATAGCAAAGTTTCCGTATGAAATTGAGAGTGAAAGTACATCTGGGGTCTTGATTACTAATATAGAACACCACTAATAACAATTGGAAAACACTGATTTCGAGCTACTCCAGTGTGTACGTCCCATAATTCTAACTTACTTAGGCCTGTTACCTATCGTGGAGAAGCATAGACTGTCCACCAGTACTCTATCGAACTCTATCCTGGACGATTCTTTCCAGTCGTTTCCAGCTTCTGTTCATCCTCCTTACGTCTGCTTCCAATTCCCGACACACTGTGTTCTTTGGGCTTCCTGTTTTCCGTTTCCCTTCAGGATTCCAAGTCAGCGCTTGCCTCATGATGCAGTTTGATGATTTCCGGAATTTATGACCTATCCACTTCTAACCTCTTTTTCGAATCTCTTCTTGATCTGGAAGCTGGTTTGTTGTCCCACAGTAGGCTGTTGCTGATGGCATCCGGCCAACACACATTGAGTATCCTGCGTAGACAATTGTTTATAAATACTTGTACTGTTTTGATGATGATTGTGGTAGTTCTCGAAGTTTCAAATCCGTACAGTAGAACTGTCTTGACGTTCGTACTGAAGATTGTGAATTTGATATTGGATGGCAGTTGTTCTGAGTCACATATGTTCTTCAGGTGTATGAGTGCTACCCTTGCTTTGCCAATCCTTACCCGTACGTCTGTATCCGACCCTCGTTATTTACCAATGATGTTTCCCAGGCACGTGAAAGATTCCACCTCTTCCAGAGTTTCTTCATCAAGTGTGATTGGATTGGTATTCTCCGTGTTGTATTTGAGGATCTTGCTTTTCCCCATCGTGTATGTTGATACCTACTGATTCAGAGGCTTCTGCTACCCTAGTTGTCTTGACTTGTATTTGTTCGTGTGTATGGGAGAGAAGGGCCAGGTCATCTACGGAGTCCAAATCGTATAGTTGTATTCAAGCTGTTCATTGTTTTCCATGCTCCCCGTCAGATATGAAGGTTTTCATAATTCAGTCAACCACCAGAAGAAAGGGAAAGGGGGAGAGTATGCAGCCTCGTCTTACCACCTAAACCTGCTACTATTAATGGAGTTATTCTATTCTGACAATTCTAAATATGAAAAATGTGGCCCATAAATTTGAAACAAATCAAGCGCTTAATGCTGTTTTCAAAGAGGTAAATTAAAATTTATTATGGTTTTTAGTGTCTTGATTTATCAGCGCCTGTATTTTAAATATGGGCCACTGTCAATTCTAAATCGTTTAGTTATATTCTCTTCGATTTTTGAACTGAGACTTATCAATAATATTTGCGAAACTAAGGTTAGTAGTATTAAGACAAAAGCAATACATCTGCCATGAAAAGATTACGTATGAAGTCGAACTTTATCAGCTTATTTTAGGCATAGTCTCGATTTTTATAGTTTTTTTCTCTTTTTATTATCCACAGTGTGTTAGTAAACAAAAAACAGAGTCCCGGTTTTTTGTTAAATATTCAGGGAATTTTTCCTCATTCATTTTCTCTTCCCTTTATGATCTTTTTGTGTTATGGCTCGTATTTTTCGTCCAATTAATTCCAGTAAATGTCCCATCTTTGCTTGTTTTACAGATCAGATATAATTGTACCCGTGATGGGTGTACTAGTTCTGATGTTGATAAAAAGTTGGTTGAAGAACCTCCAAATACAAACGATCCTACCATTATAGTATACAGAGTAAATAACGTAGTCCGCGCTGTAAGTGCTCCATCGGGGGTTGAAAAGTGGAATTTGAGCGTTCATCAATACGAGCTTTGCCTGTTAACTGGTGGAATTCCTACCCCAACTACTGCTGTGCAGAAGACTTCACCTATTTGTAACTTACCTTTGGGTACTCCAGTAAGTTGTTTATATACGCTGTCAAACACTGACATTATGGAATATTTAAGTATACGTATGGGACTGTTTTATGCGAATTTTCTATGAAACCGGATTTTCGTGATAATAATAGTTATACGAGTATTTAATGTGCACCTAAAACTGGTGTTATTGTAGCAAGCAAATTCTTTAATAGAATGCCAAAGTTCTTCGTGATTATAATAACCGTTGTTTCGAAACCAGTGTAATTCTGACTGAATCAGTTGGATCAATCTATTTTTATTTGAAACAAGCAAGTACTAATATAAATGTCCATCAGAATAAACATGCACCGTATAAATACGAAAACAAAACTGTGGAAAGGTAAACGGAGGGTGGATAAAATCGAGATAAATAAATAAATTAAATAAGCGAGCGAGCATAGTTTATGATAGGAGAAACAATTCAGACAAAAAGTACGACCAAGAAGACTTTCACTTGAAAGACTTCCGCTCACTCCTATGAATAAAGTAAAAGAAAACTACAACACGACCGCCATTGGTTTCTATTTAGACCCATGTCTCTCGATCGTTGTTGCTACCTTGACGTGGTGGTCTGGCTTGCCTATCGTGATGAACCAGTCGGGCTATGCTGGCTGAAGCAATCGTTTCTCAAGGTCCTACCATACCAGACAGGTTGGTTGAAGAACGGTAAGACTAAAGACAGCAAACCCGAGGTCAAAGGGCGAAGTCGCACTGCAGACTGTACAGAAGTATGACGGCAGTAAGGTGTTTCCGTCAAACAACCAGCATAACAGCGATGCTGCCTTCCCACAAGGAGGGGTGGGGTGGGGTTAGAAAAGGTCGACCTTAAAAATACACACCGGCCTTGTCCCACGAATATCCGTCTCTGGCGGTAAGGTCTCAAAAAGTACGGAGCTAACACAAAAATTACTCATAAAAAGGTCCTGTGTGACCAACCTCAAGCAGTTGTCCCTTGGGCACTGTGGTCACGCTCTCGGGTCACTAACACCACCTCTAATCTAATTTCCTTTTCAGGTACCTTCGGAAGAACCCTTCCACGGTGTGGGCAACCGAGAAGTGATAACCGCCCTCATATCTCTAACAGCACTCAAGACCACTGTATCCATAATCAACCTCCCTCTTCAATTCCTATTATTACTCCTGCATCGACTTTCAACTCTAAACTTCCTCTTTCGGCTTCCTCCTCAAGAGTCACTATAGCCAACGGTTTTAGTGCACAGAACACTGTCCCAGGTCTACTGAAACCTCGCTACAAACTACACATTTGAGCCTTCAACGTACGCACCCTATGTCAAATCGGTCAATAGGCTTCCTTGGCTAGGACCCTAGAATCTCGTACCATTGATGTATGCTGCGTCTCGAAACACGCATACAGGATCCCAGTGTAGTCATTCACTTGACCTCACCTCAGCAAAACGGAGCCAACGAGATACACTCTCCGTGTATCTGGTGACCCGACGGCCAGTTCTCGTGAACTGGCAGGTGTAGGCATAGCACTAAGTATGAGGGCGGAACAAGCACTGCTAGAGTGGATCCCCGTTAACAGTCGTTTATGTGCTGTTCGGCTCAACGGCTGCGTAAGAACTCGGAAAGATAGGGACACACGTCGTTGCCTTTTTGTCGTTTCTGCCTACGCTCCCACTAACTGCATCTCAGATGAAATGAAAGATGAATTATACAGAACTTCTTCATTAAGCTAAACGTTCAGACATAGTACAGATTTCAGGTGACTTTAGTGCCCGAATAGGTAGTTTAAACCAAACAGAAAGACATTTAGGTGAGTATTTTAGTATTCCGGCATAGTGAACAGATAATGGTGATCGTCTGCTGCAACTGTGCTCAGACAATCGTTTATTTTTCAGTCAGTCAGCTACAACGTAGGACCAGGCACATTTATGCATCGGTCCAAATTGCCATACCTCATTAACACGACAAGATGAACACCGGATTCATAAAAGTAGTTAATTCAATGGTGGTAGTATATAAAAGAAAGATTGCAATAAGGATATAGTACAGGAAGAAAGAATTAGTTAGTAGAAAGAAAGACATGAAGCAATTTTAATCTCTTAGTTTAAGGGAAGATAGAGAGTGTATACACCGACGCAATTGTGATCGATTCTGAGCCATGTCACCAAGAGTCTCCAACCATTGGTTACGGCAGTCATGCGGACCCCAACCAAGTAGTCTGCATCTACCAACATGGCTCAGACTAGGAGTTAGTGACTTCAAGCACTAATGCCACGTTTTGGTTTGCCCGCCCCTAACTTTCTTCCGACCATCCCGAACGCCGGTTAGCATTGCACGTCGTGGTAATCGGTGTTCAGGCATACGTAACACGTGGCCCAACTATCTCAGTCGATGAAGATTCACAACTTCATCAACTGATTTACCATCCTTCCCTAATACCCTGCGTCTAACCTCATTATTACTTATCCGGTGATCTCAGCAGACGCCAGCAATATTTCTGAGGCATCTGTGGTCAAATACTAGTAGCTTACGAGTGTCTTCTACTCTTAATGGTCATGTTTCGCTGCCGTAAATTAAAACAGAACAAACTGCCGCGCAGTATACTCGTCCTTTTATTGATAGACGGATATCTCGCCTTCGCCATAGGTGACGTAAGTTGGCAAAAGCCAAACGAGCTTTTCGAATCCGTGCTGAGGTTTCGTCAGACACCAACCCATTAGGGCTGATCAGACTTCCAAGATAAGTGAAACTGTCAACGCGTTCGACTACTTCACTCCCTATCCTTAGTTCAGGTGTTGACGCAGACCATTCCTGAAGCAACAAATTGCATTTAGAGAGAGAGAGAGAAGCGCATTCCAAACATTCTGGCATTGTCGCTCAGTGCTACCAGAAGACTGCATTCTATCAGCGTCTTCACCAAACAGGACTATGTCATCCGCGTATTCTAAGTCGATAAGTGGACCTCCTGGAAGGAGATCAATACTCGAGAATTCAGTCGACGAACATGGAGCAGAACTGCTCTCACCGACGCGTTGTAGATCCGACCTTTTACAGCCAGACTTACATCACGAAGGCTCCAAAGGTTGCCCAGATTGGCGTAAGCCGCTCTGGCTTTCAAGATTCGTGCATTGATCTCATCACTCACACCCCCACCAGCACTTATGCAGCTACCTAGATACTCGAACTTCTCGACTACTTCCATCTGCTCACAATCTAGGGTGAGTGCAGGGTTATAATCCTGCCAGTCTTGTAGAAGTACTTTGCACTTCGAAGGTGCAAAGCACATACCATACTTACTGACACTGATTAAGTGCGGATTGCATGGCTTGGGCATTATCGCACAGTAAGACAATATCGTCCGCATACTCAAGGTCGAGAAGTCTTTCTCCAGGCAACAGATCCACACCACCATTACTTACATCCATCAGAGCTGTTTCCAGAATGTCATCGATGGCAAAGTTGAAGAGGAATGGTGAGATTGGGCAACCCTGTCTAACCCCACTGCTCGAATGGAACAATGGAGAGAGGTGGTTGTATGCCCTTACTCTGCCTGAGGTGTTTTTATGTAGGGCTTTTAGGATGTTAATAAACTTCTCAGGCACACCCTTCTTCAATAGACAATCCCAGAGAACAGTCTTGTCCAACGAATCGAAGGCAGCCCTGATGTCAAGAAACGCTACGATTGTTGGCCTTTGATAAGTATGGCGGTGTTCTAACATTTGGCAGAGGGTGAAGATATGATCAATACATCCTCGACCAGAACGAAACCCAGCCTGCTCCTCGCGAGTCAATCTTTCTCGGGTTTTGAACAACCTACGAAGTATGACGGAAGCCAATAGTTTGGACGCAATCGGAAGTAAACTTATCCCTCGATAGTTGTTACAGGAACGACGTGAACCCTTTTTAAAGATAGGGATAACTATCGACTCATTCCATGACGTTAGTACACTCTCTAGTTCCCGAACCTTTGTAAACAACGTCGTCAATTCCTTAGTCAAAAAGTCACCACCATCTTTAAAAAGAGCCGCAGGTAAGTCATCTGGGCCAGGTGATTTGCAACGTTTCATGAGTTGGAGTTCCTTGCGGACTTCCTCCTCGTTTGGTGGGTCAGTCGTCACCGGCCATGGAGGGCAGGACAGTCTGACCGATGTTGCCGGAGCAGCAGGCCAGTTGAACTGCCCTTCGAAAAATTCTGCCCATCTTCCAAGACGTCGATGGATGTTAGTGATTGGCATCCCATCATCCTCGCAGATTGTTTCGCTCACACCAGACTTCTTGCTGCCAGTGGCTCGGATGAGTTGGAAGAGCTTCCGGAGTTACCAGATGCAGCTGCTGCTTCTGTCTGATTAACACACTCCGACCACCAGGCTTCTCGTTCCTTACGCAAGCTTTGCCCAACTCCATTACGTAACAGCCTTCGTTTATGGTCAAAATCACGGTCATCCGGAGTAGACCGACGGGCTTCAATGAGTAGTAAGGAACCAGAAGAAACCCAAAGCTTATAAGCGGGACGTTTCGCGCAGCCGAAAGCGGCTTCACTCGCTATTTTCATAGCGTCATGCAGTTGCGACCAATGCTCATCTATACTTGTCCTTTTGGAGTGAGGGGGGAGTACTATGTTTCCGTACTGTAAATGGGGACGGATGAAACTATTGAAGATTGTATGGAAAGTTCTTCCGTCAAACTGTCCAAAAATGCGCTTCAACGTTACCAATGCAAGGTTTGCTCGGAAGGCATTTTTGTCGCAGTTAGCGTAAGACTTTAAATCATGGAGCACCAGGACTCCTAGATATTTTTCGACTTGGGATACTACTAGAGAGGAGTTTCCTAAATTGTAACTGTAGTTTCCGACATGTCGCAGATGGACTACTTTACACTTTGAAGTGTTAAAGGTAAGTCCGTTATCGTCTGCCCAACTTTGAAGTCGAGTCAGATCCTCCTGAAGTGCTTGTGTATCGTCTTGGTTGCGTATCTCTCTTCGAAATTTCACGTCGTCAGCAAAAAGTAATAAGTCTGACGTTACCTGTTGAG